TTCAAGCGTCCTCTATTCACTTCCAGATACTCGCGGTATTTTTAATTTTATTTTGATTCGTCCAAGAATGCAATGATCTAAATGAAAACTTGTCTACAAAGCTCAGTAACTATTTATATTTTAATTTCTGTGAAAAAATTAGAATTTCCTAAAAATTCTTGGAAACCACTGAAGGTGAAAATATTGCAAAACCAACAGTTATTTTAATTTCATATAAAATGTTAAGATTTTGCTAAAATTTTCCCAATAAAAGGCATTTGTAACTCACTCATCAGATCTGTCACTCATAATGATGGTCGTTACTCGCCTTTATTAAACCCTCACAACTCGACTTTAAATCTTCGTAACTCGTCTTGAACCCTCACAACTCGTGCTCTAATAACTCGTCCTGAAACCCTAAAACTCGTGGTCACATCCTTGTTCTAAAACCCTCATAATTCGTTCTGAAATATTTGCAACTAGTATTAAAAATATCAGGCTTTTGCTGTTACTGTTAAAATTCTCCCTCAGACTTCTACAACTTGGGCTGAAATCCTCAAAACTCGTCCTCAGGCACCAACAACTCGTGATCAAACCATCGTAATTCCTGTTTACTCCCTCAGGTTCGAGCGTGGAGTACATGGGACCGAAGCTGCTTGTCGAGTACAGGATAGGCAAGATCAACCTGGACGTGAACAACGCCACCCAGTACAGTGGCTCCCGCGTTCGCGTGGAACTAATCCGACGCTATGGCTACGCAATACTCAACATCTATGTTCCCTCCTTCACCCTCCTTATCATCAGTTACCTCACCCTCTTCTTCAGGGCGCCCATCTTCGAGGTGAGAAGGGAAAATAGTGTGACAGTGTAATCGATTGAATCGGAGGATAAATGAAATTTGCCTTAGTTCCTGTTTGACAAAGGCAGCCGTGGACAGACAGACATATGTGTGTGTGTTCGTGTATTCACCTGGTTGTGGTTGCAGGGGTTGAGTCACAGCTCCTGGCCCCGCCTCTTCACTGGTCGCTACTAGGTCACACTTCCGTGTGTGTGTGTGTGTGTGTGTGTGTGTGTGTGTGTGTGTGTGTGTGTGTGTGTGTGTGTGTGTGTGTGTGTGTGTGTGTGTGTGTGTGTGTGTGTGTGTTGTGTGTGTGTGATGTGTGTGTGTATGAGTGTGTGTGCGTGTGTGTGTGATGTGTGCGTGTGTGTGTGTGTGTGTGTGTGTGTGTGTGTGTGTGTGTGTGTGTGCGCGCGTGTGTGTGTGTGCGCGCGTGTGTGTATATGTGTATGAGTGTGTGATGTGTATGTGTGTGTGTGTGTGTGTGTATGTGTGTGTGTGTACTCACCTATTTGTACTCACCTATTTGTGGTTGCAGGGGTCGAGTCACAGCTCCTGGTCCCGCCTCTTCGCTGATTGCTACTAGGTCCTCTCTCTCCCTGCCCCATGAGCTCTATCATACCTCGCCTTAAAACTATGTATGGTTCCTGCCTCCACCACATCACTTTCTAGGCTATTCCATGGCCTGACTACTCTATGACTGAAGAAATACTTCCTAACATCCCTTTGATTCATCTGAGTCTTCAACTTCCAATTGTGACCTCTTGTGTCTGTGTCCCATCTCTGGAACATCCCGTCTTTGTCCACCTCGTCTACTCCGCGCAGTATTTTATATGTCGTTATCATGTCTCCCATGACCCTCCTGGCCTCCAGTGTCGTCAGGCCGATTTCCCTCAACCTTTCTTCATAGGACAATCCCCGTAGCTCTGGGACTAGTCTTGTTGCAAACCTTTGCACTTTCTCTAATTTCTTGACGTGCTTGACTAGGTGTGGATTCCAAACTGGTGCTGCATACTCCAGTATGGGCCTGACGTAGATGGTGTACAGAGTCTTAAACGAATCCTTACTGAGGTATCGGAACGCTATCCGTAGGTTTGCCAGGCGCCCGTATGCTGCAGCAGTTATCTGATTGATGTGCGCCTCAGGAGATATGCTCGGTGTTATACTCACCCCCAGATCTTTTTCCTTGAGTGAGGTTTGCAGTCTTTGGCCATCTAAACTATATTGTGTCTGCGGTCTTCTTTGCCCTTCCCCAATCTTCATGACTTTGCATTTGGCAGGGTTAAATTCAAGGAGCCAGTTGCTGGACCAGGCTTGTAGCCTGTCCAGATCTCTTTGTAGTCCTGCCTGATCCTCGTCCGATTCGATTCTTCTCATTAACTTCACATCGTCTGCAAACAAGGACACTTCTGAGTCTATCCCTTCCGTTATGTCGTTCACGTATACCAAGAACAGCACAGGTCCTAGGACTGACCCTGTGGAACCCCGCTTGTCACAGGCGCCCACTCTGACACCTCGTCGCGTACCATGACTCGTTGTTGCCTCCCTGTCAGATATTCTCTGATCCATTGCAGTGCCTTTCCTGTTATGTGTGCCTGGTCCTCTAGCTTTTGCAGTAACCTCTTGTGAGGAACTGTGTCGAAAGCCTTCTTGCAGTCCAAAAATACGCAGTCGATCCACCCCTCTCTCTCTTGTCTTACTTCTGTCACCTTGTCATAAAACTCTAGTAGGTTTGTGACACAGGATTTTCCTTCCCTGAAACCGTGCTGGTTGTCAATTATACACTTGTTTCTTTCCAGGTGCCCCACCACTCTCCTCCTGATGATCTTCTCCATGACCTTGCATACTATACATGTTAGTGATACAGGTCTGTAGTTTAGTGCCTCATGTCTGTCTCCCTTTTTAAAAATTGGGACTACATTTGCCATTTTCCATACCTCAGGGAGTTGCCCAGTTTCAAATGATGTGTTGAAGATCTTTGTTAATGGCTCACACAATATCTCTGCTCCCTCTTTAAGGACCCATGGAGAGATGTTGTCTGGTCCCACCGCCTTTGAGGTGTCAAGTTCGCATAGCAGCTTCTTCACCTCCTCCTTGGTTATATGTACCTCATCCAGCACTTGCTGGTGTGTGTATGTGTGTGTGTGTGTGTGTGTATGTGTGTGTGTGTGTATATGTGTATGAGTGTGTGTGTGTGTGTGTGTGTGTGTGTGTGTGTGTGTGTGTATGTTTGTGTATATATATGAATGTGTGTGAGTGTGTGTGTGTGTGTGTGTGTGTGTTTGTGTGTGTATATGTGTTTGTGTGTATGTATGTACTCACCTAATTGAGGTTGCGGGGGGTCGAGTCCAAGCTCCTGTGTGTGTGCGTGTGTCCGTGTGTGTGTGTGTCTGTGTGTCTGTGTATGTGTGTGTGTGTGTGTGTGTGTGTGTGTGTGTGTGTGCGTGTGTACTCAAGTAATTGTACTCACCTAGTTGAGGTTGCAGGGGTCGAGTCCAAGCTCCTGGCCCCGCCTCTTCACTGATCGCTACTAGGTCACTCTCCTTGAACCGTGAGCTTTATCATACCTCTGCTTAAAGCTATGTATGGATCCTGCCTCCACTACATCGCTTCCCAAACTATTCCACTTCCTGACTACTCTGTGGCTGAAGAAGTACTTCGTAACATCCCTGTGTTTCATCTGTTTCTTCAACTTCCAACTGTGTCCCCTTGTTGCTGTGTCCCATCTCTGGAACATCCTGTCTTTGTCCACCTTGTCAATTTCTCTCAGTATTTTGTATGTCGTTATCATGTCCCCCCTATCTCTTCTGTCCTCCAGTGTCGTCAGGTTGATTTCCCTTAACCTGTCCTCGTAGGACATACCTCCTAGCTCTGGGACTAGTCTTGTTGCAAACCTTTGCACTTTCTCTAGTTTCTTTACGTGCTTGTCTAGGTGTGGGTTCAAGACTGGTGCCGCATACTCCAATATTTGCCTAACGTACACGGTGTACAGGGTCCTGAACGATTCCTTATTAAGATGTCGGAATGCTGTTCTGAGGTTTGCTAGGCGCCCATATGCTGCAGCAGTTATTTGGTTGATGTGCGCTTCAGGAGATGTGCCTGGTGTTATACTCCTTGAATGAGATTGTAGTCTCTGGCCCCCTAAACTGTATTCCGTCTGTGGTCTTCTTTGCCCTTCCCCAGTCTTCATGACTTTGCTCTTGGTGGGGTTGAACTCCAGGAGCCAATTGCTGGACCAGGTCTGCAGCCTGTCCAGATCCTTTTGTAGTTCTGCCTGGTCTTCGATCGAACGAATTCTTCTCATCAGCTTCACGTCATCTGCAAACAGAGACACTTCGGAGTTGATTCCTTCCGTCATGTCGTTCACAAATACCAGAAACAGCACTGGTCCTAGGACTGACCCCTGTGGGACCCCGCTGGTCACAGGTGCCCACTCCGACACCTCGCCACGTGTTTATATATATATATATGTGTGTGTGTGTGTGTGTGTGTGTGTGTGTGTGTGTGTGTGTGTGTGTGTGTTGTGTGTGTGTGTGTGCGCGAGTGCGCTGCTGTTGTTTGATTTCTTTACTAACAAGGTTTTAAGTGACTTCTGGTAATTCGAAATAAAGGTGATGATTTTGTGGCCACCAGGACTTTAAATGGATTTTTTGATAGTCTGAAAACTTCCAGTGTAAACATGACCCTTGTAGGTTTAGCGCTTCTGTTTTGATTATAATAATACTTGAAGTGTAAACATTGGTGAGTCAAGACCCACTCTGCACCCTTATAATAATAATAATATAATAATAATAATAATAATAATAATAATTATAGTACTAATAATAGATAATTCGATGTCAGTATCTTGTGCATGTTTTTGTGGATTATTGTATGAGGAAGCTATAAATCCACAGGGGGTCATACAACCCCAGGAGAATGGGCGGGCAATCAGATTTGATCTAAGAAAGAGGAGGGTAGCTCTAATTCCTTGAAGCAAGCGCCCCTCGCCAGCATCCGCATGTCTGAATGATCTGTGTCACCAGGTTCGTCTGAACACGGCTCTCACCTCCCTACTGGTGCTGGCCACCTTGTTCACCCAAGTCTCCGCCTCCCTGCCCAAGACCTCCTACTTCAAGATGGTTGACGTGTGGCTGCTCTTCTGCATTCTCCTCAACTTCCTCATCATCATCTGGCACACCGTCATCGACCTCGTCATAGACTACGGCGACGGTTTCAGTGGCGTCTCCGGCTCCTCCCCCTACGGTGACGTCTCAAAGACCTGGGCTCACCCGCCGCCGCCGAAGGAGGCGGCACGTCACATCGAAGTCACACAAGTCAGGCCTATGCAAACTGGCGGAACACCAGATTCTGGTAAAGGGAAGACTTTTCTCTCCGCCTTGCGACTTCCAGCAACGAATTTTGACTTTCATTTCTACATTAAAACATCGAAAATCACCACCTCAGCCATCTGTCTGGTGTTCAACTTGATTTACTGGGGAACTCTCAGCGCAGGCTCCGGACTCATGTACTACACTTAAGATTAATCCTCACCTCAGTCTGACTGGCTGCGAGAGTAACGCGTCCGTCTAGCGATTAGCGGACAGAGGCTCGAAAATCCACTACTATTTGCGTTGCATGGTCCACAGAGGTTTAACGCTTCGTATAAATATAGGACTGCATCTTATGTTTGTATAGTTGTGTGGAGCGCTAGAGCTGCGTGGATCAGTGAACGCAAAGGATATACAGACTTGTACCACCGTCTACAAATCGCAAAGAGCATAATTGCTAGTACAGCAGACCGCTCCTGATTACACTAGTGATGTTCAACAGCACCTGATCAGCAACTGCAGCAATGTAAACAACAGAAGCTACAGCAGCACGAACAGCAGCAACTGCAGTCATATGAATGCTTGTTAGAGATTATGTTCTCCGAATTCCATTAAGTATAATAATAATAATTAAAAATAATAATAATTACTATTTTTATTATTATTGTTATTAAATCATACGCAGGCGCCCGTCATTAATTATTTCCTTAATTTAATACACAAGAGAATATCCATGAAAATATTTTAATTATCCTCATGATCAACCAGTAAAATAAAAGAGAGAGAGAGAGAGAGAGAGAGAGAGAGAGAGAGAGAGAGAAACAGTGACAGACAGAGATAGAGACCGAGAGACAGACACACAGACAGACAGACATACAAATGACAAACCCCAGGCGTGAGGAATGCGGTGGTAGATGGGAGTGTGTAAGAGGAGGATGTTAGTAACTCAAGCGTCGTCAGTACAGGTACAAGACCTGTATCTGTAATGAGGCTGTTTGGGCTCCCAGCTTCCTAACCTCTTTCAGCTCTCTCTCTACTGCCTTCACTTTTCTCCTCACTCTGGTCAATCACTTTCGCTGCCACGAGCAGCATTCATACTCATCCTTCTATCTCTCAATTTCACGTTCTTGCCTTCTGTTCTACGATCTAGCTTTATCTATCAGTCTTTCCATATTTCTCTTCTATGCCTTACTTGTTCCACTATTTACATTCAGTAACTCTCCCTTCCTTTCTCTGTCCCTTATCAGTATTTTTTTTAGACTTCCCACTCTCTCCCTCTTTACCACTTCCTCCCTCTCTTCCTGTTTACCACACCCTCCCATCTCTCGCATCTCCTTCTCTTGTTTCCCTCGATGCCGTGGAGCTCTGGGTCTCAGGGAACACAGCATCACAGCCTCCACAGAATACTAAGAACAAGGTGTAATGAGCGGTGCTATTTTTTTTCTTGCCTCGAGTTAAGTGGAGTTTATTGCATTATTTTAATGATCGTTACGTGTGTTGCTCCTCACCTGCAGCCGCCTGCCGTGGGCCAGGACTTGCATACCAAGGTGCTTACAGCGTCGCTCGTGTAGACACTAGCTAAGTTTCGGCAAGTTGACGGCCGAGAAGCTCTGGGATGCTCCCACAGTAGCGTCGCCAGCATCCAAGGCTAGTGCTAAGCTCTCTGGAAGATAACACCCGGACGTGCCTCGGTGATTACAAGTGTACCGAGGTGATTACAAATGCACCACGATGGTTGCAGATACTCAAAGATTCTCACAGACACATAGAGATTCTTTCAGATACACCAAGATGCTCACAGACATGCCAGGACGCTCAAAAGCACATCAAAATGCTTATAGACAAGCCAAGATGCTCGTGGACATACCAAGATACTCATAGACACACCCAGATGCCCACAGACACACCTAGATGCCAAGAGACGCACCTATATGCTCAAAGACACACCCAGATGCTCACACTTACCCAGACGCTCACACTTACCCAGATGCTCAGAGGCACACCCAGATGATCACATTTACCCAGATGCTCAGAGACACACCCAGATGTTCAGAGACACACCCAGATGCTCAGAGACACACCCAGACGCTCAGAGAAACAGCCAGATGTTCAGAGACACACCCAGATGTTCAGAGACACACCCAGATGCTCAGATACACACCCAGATGTTCAGAGACACACCCAGATGTTCAGAGACACACCCAAATGTTCAAAGACACACCCAGATGCTCAGAGACACACCCAGATGATCACATTTACCCAGATGCTCAGAGACACACCCAGATGTTCAGAGACACACCCAGATGTTCAGAGACACACCCACATGCTCAGAGACACACCCAGACGCTCAGAGACACACCCAGATGTTCAGAGACACACCCAGATGTTCAGAGACACACCCAGATGTTCAGAGACACACCCAGATGTTCAGAGACACACCCAGATGATCAGAGACACACCCAGATGTTCAGAGACACACCCAGATGCTCAGAGACACACCCAGATGCTCAGAGACACACTCAGATGTTCAGAGACACACCCAGATGTTCAGAGACACACCCAGATGCTCAGAGACACACCCAGATGCTCAGAGACACACCCAGATGCTCAGAAACAACTCAGATGCTCAGAGACAAACCCAGATGCTCAGAGACAAACCCAGATGCTCAGAGACACACCCAGATGCTCAGAGACACACCCAGATGCTCAGAGACCCACCCAGATGCTCAGAGACACATCCAGGTGCTCAGAGACACACCCAGATGCTCAGAGACAAACCCAGATGCTCAGAGACACCCCGATGCTCAGAGATACACCCAGATGCTCAGAGACACACCCTGATGCTCAGAGACAAACCCAGATGCTCAGAGACACACCCAGATGCTCAGAGACACACCCCGATGCTCAGAGATACACCCAGATGCTCAGAGACACACCCTGATGCTCACACTTACCCAGATGCTCAGAGACACACCGAGATGCTCACACCCAGATGCTCAGAGACACCCAGATGCTCAGAGACACCTAGATGCTCAGAGACACACCCAAATGCGCAGAGACACCCAGATGCTCAGAGACACCCAGATGCTCAGAGACACACCCAGATGCTCAGAGACACCCAGATGCTCAGAGACACACCCAGATGCTCAGAGACACCCAGATGCTCAGAGACACCCAGATGCTCAGAGACACCCAGATGCTCAGAGACACCCAGATGCTCAGAGACAAACCCAGATGCTCAGAGACACACCCCGATGCTCACACTTACCCAGATGGTCAGAGACACACCCCGATGCTCACACTTACCCAGATACTCAGAGATACACCCAGATGCTCAGAGACACACCCAGATACTCACACTTACCCAGATGTTCAGAGACACACCCAGATGCTCAGAGATACACCCAGATGTTCAGAGACACACCCAGATGCTCAGAGACACACCCAGATGTTCAGAGATACACCCAGATGCTCAGAGATACACCCAGATGCTCACAGCGTGGCCGGAATGCACTCATTAAACTTCCTCAAGGTGATGCTGAGAATTATTGCTCCTGGAGACAGTGACGAGTTGTAATTTTAATAAATAACCTTATTTTTCTTTAATTATAGATAATTGTAACATATATATGGAGTATATACAACACATTAGTAATTACCATAATATTATGTGTATTTGATGAGCTATTTGTAATGTGTTACTCGTTTTTTTTTTGGCTTTCCCACTGTTTCAAGTCTGTTTCAAGCAGTCTGTGCTTGTTATTGCTGTCACGTTCTCTAAATACGTTTCATGTCGTGGTCATAACTCCCTCTGGTCCTTCACTCTGACGTCAGCGAAAGCTTTCTTCATCTCTCTCTTTCGTCGAGCATCTTTGCACTTGCTCTACTTTGTTTCAGTGTCTGATGAAGCTGGTGGACACAAGTTCGGCACTTTGATCATTTTTTTAGGTCAATCTTGTGTGAGGTTTGAAGTCTCCGAACATCTTAGCTGTATTCTGATTCTGGTTTTTCTTGCACTTCCCTAAATTGTCAGCAACTTTGCATTTTCTAGTGCAAAATCTAAGTGTCCACTCCCTTGACCATCCCTGAAAGTCTGTCGAAGTAATGGATAAATAAGACATCAGGAAAGGGATCGGGCATATTGGGAAGTGACGGGCGAAACGTATCATAAAGACACCCAACTGTTGCACATGTATTTTACTCATAAATTTATTACATTTATTTTTTTCAATCAAGAATTTTAACCCTTTTGTATTAAGGACTATTTTTTCAAATTCAGCTTTCAATTTTTCTGTCTCATTTAAAATTAAAATGAGTATTTTTTCTAAGTATTTAATGTTATGAGGGAAAAAAAAATACATGAAATGCAGAATTACCCAGCCGAAATAAACATAACATCAAAAGACACAGAGTAACATGGAAGGAAAATATTATCGGACAGTGTAAATACATCAACGGACGATGAACAGACGACGAAGAAACACGTCAGAAGCGGAATAAGTGCAACAATATATGAGAGAGAAGAAACTGTCTGGAGGAGACATGACGGAGAGATAAATGAGAGATAAGACGAGACCTCCTTGATAGTATGCAACACATAGAGGTCTGCAACACATGGAACTATGCAATGATGGAAGAGACATGTCGTCAAAGATTATAACGAACAGTCACTGGAACGCGACGAACAGCGAAATAATGTGGTCTTCAAGGCAGCCACTAACAGACCACAACATTCACTAATAGACCACAAAAACCACTAACAGACCACAACACCCAGTAACAGACCACATCACCCACTAACAGACCATAATTACCACTAACAGACTACAAAAATGACTAAGGGACCCTCAACAATCGGTAATAGATCACAACAACCGCAAACACCAACAGTAACAATAACAGGTAGATCACACAACCATTGCAACAAATGGGCAACCACAATAATCGCTGTAGTACACTATAACAGTTAGTGTAACAAACCATACCACGGGTGGGGATAGAACCCGGGATCAGAGAATCTCAAAACTCCAGACCGTCGCGTTAGCCACTGGACCAGCTAGCCACAATAAGATTTATCCAACTAGGTATATTTCTAAACCATAGGAAGGTTAGCATAGGCACCACTGTGACCACCAATGCAAGTTTTTACAGACGAATCTCCAGCTAGCTGGTCCAGTAGCTAACGCGACAGTCTGGAGTTTTGAGACTCTCTGATCGCGGGTTCTATCCCCGTCCGTGGTATGGTTTGTTTGCAACCGTGTCATTACGATTTCGTGAGTCAAGTTAGTGTAACAGTTAGGACACTACACAAACACTGTTGCTAACAGAAACATCGTCTCATACACCCTCTCTCGAGCTCTCACACCTACCCTTCAATAATCACCCTCTCCCACCCACCCTCTCATACATCCATCATCTAAGCTCTTACACCCACCCATTCTCTCACTCAAACCCTCTCACACTCACCCTCTACCAAATTCTCACGTCCACCGTCTCTCACACTCTCTCAACGGAAGCAACAGGTTAAAGGCAACACACAGATTGAAAATCCTTCTCGCCTTGCCCTCAAAACTGCCAATCTTGT